AATATGCCTTCCTCTTTACTATTTATAAACTAAGACAAATTCAACAATTTAAATATATTCACAAAATTATGACAACTTATGACTAAACACTTTACACAGAAAATTATAACCTGTCAACAATGTCGATTACCCTAAAGGCAACAGCGTTTAGTAACACACAAAAACTTGTGTTTGAAGAACTAAAAACAAACTTTTTTTTATAATTTTATATTTATGAAAAGGGAAATAGTTTCTTTAGCAAATATTTATGACATAAAATTTATAAACATGTGATGCTATTTACGACTATAATAAAATTCTTAAAAAAACCTTTTTCTATGCCACAAAATTTAAATTTAACCCTTTTGATATTGAAATTCCATAAGTGTGGTAAGCAAAAATTTGCTTAAAAAAACTTAAAAACAAATTTATGAACCATTTTAATAATATTTTTAGAAATAAAAACAAGAAACAACATCTAGTAAATCAAAAAATTAATTTCATTTGATATAGAAAATGTTCGCAAAAGAACACAAATTAAATAAAACACGCGTTCCAGAAATGATACAGTTCATTTTGTGATGAAATGTTTAGATGAATAATAATCATTAAAGAACAAACAAAAATATTTAATTTGTATGAGAAAAAAAATGAAATATTAAATAAAAAAATTTATTATATGGGTTTTAATTATAAGAGCAAAAAAATACTAAAATAGAAATGATAAAAATCTAAAACCTTATAATGAATAAGTTACTTATGTATGTTTTAAAAAAAGTCATATTGTCAAATTTTCACCGTGTCTTTAATTTGTTTTCAAAATAATAATTTTGTTTAAAAAAATATATTTTTGATTTTAATTTCTCTTTTTGTATTTTCATTTGCAGATAATGAAGGGGGAACATATTAAAAAGTCATCAACCACAACACAAAAGAAAATATACAAAAAAATTGTATTTATTTAAAAAAAAATAAAAACTGAAGAGTAAAAATATTGTATTGTATATACATAGAGAAAAAGGAATAAATGAAACGAACACAAATGTGAGTTAAAAAAACAATAAATCGACCACAAGATAAGAGGAGAATAAGCAAAAACCAAATGTATGAACAGCAACCTTGGAAACCAGCCAACTTTATCATAATTTAAATGAAGAACATCATAATGACGCTGAACATGCGATAATCATAATGATGAGGATCATTTATAATATTTAAAATAAGAATGTTGACAACGAAAATGTCGATTATGATGAAGATGAAAATAGCGAATAATACTCGCGCTTCAATGCCAAACCAAACAGCAACCAACGACAACAACAGAGCAGCAGCAACAGCATCTATAAACAAACAAATAAGCAGCAACATTATTAACAATAATATGCAGTAACAATAATAATAATAATATGCAAAATAATTGTTTACATATACACACATTTAAAGTGATAATATTAATAAAAAAGTGAAAAACCCCATAAAGACAATAAAATGGAAAAACAGCCAAAAATCTCTTAAAAGAAACGAAAAACCTCAAAAAATGCTTAATTTCACACTCTTTGAAGAAAGTTTTTTTAAAAGTTCAAAAAATATATATTTTATCAAAAATCTTAAACACACACCACCTACCCCACCACTAGCGACACCACCATGGTGACAGATATATTTTTAATTAGCAAATTATATGAAAATGTCAAACAAAGAAAACACAAAAATAAATAACAACCAAACAACATTAAAATAAAACCAACAAATATTTAAAGATATAAATCACAGAACTAAACTAAAAATAAAAATTTTAATAAAACGAAAATAAATAAAAAAACAATAATTTAAAACACTCCTCGTTTAAAGAATATTTTAAGACTATTGACTTTTTCTTTTGTTCTAAACATTTGAAATTATTTTCTTAATAATATTTAAACTAATTTTCAAGTGCTTAATAATTATTTCTTTCACCTCCTGTTTCCGTCATACACTCACGGCTAAAAGCAAACAAACGACGAAATAAATATAAAAATTACAACGCACACCTTCTGGTTTGTTTTTTTTTTCTAAAGTGCAAGTGACACTCGTAAAAATGCAAAGAAATAGGAAATGACAAGTAAACAGCAACAACTAACAAAAAAAAAAATGCAAATAAATTTAATACAAATAAATAAATGTAGAAAAAAATCATACAACAAACACAGCATCTGTTGCAAATAAATCAAATTTTAAATTGAATTTGTTGTAGAATACAGGGTGTTATTAAAAAAAATATATAAATTTTCCATAAATTTTTTTTTATATAAAAAGTTGCTTTAAAAAAAGAACATCTTATTCTATAAAAATTTTTTCTATAAAAGAGTTTTTTTTTTTTTTTTAAAGAAACATTTGTTTAACAGAAACTCTTTAAAAAACTATTTTTTCTATAAATAATAAATTTTTTCTATAAAAAGTTGTTTTATAATAGAGCAAGAAATTGCTCCATAAAGGAGCAATATTTTTCTATATAAAAAGTTTCCTATAAAAGACAAACTTTTTATAGAAAAAGTTGCTTTACAAAAGGAGAAATTTTGCTGGATAAAAGAGCAATTTTTCCTAGAAACAGTTGCTCTATGAAAGAAATTTTTTTCTAGAAAAAGTTGCTCAATAAAAAACTATTTTTTCTAGAAAAGTAGCTCCATAAAAAAGCAATTTTTTCTACAAAAAGTTGCTCATTAAAAAAGAAATTTTTTCTAGAAAAACTTGTTCTATAAAGTAGCAATTTTTCCAAAAAAAAAGTTGCTCTATAAAAGAGCAATTGTTTCTAGAAAAAGTTGCTTTATAAAAGATCAGTTTTTTGAGAGAAAGTTGCTCCATACAAAGCTATGTTTTCTAGAAAAAGTTGTTCTAAAAGGATCAATTTTTCCAAAAAAAAAAAAAAAAGAATCTCTATATCGAGAAATTTTTTTAGAAAAAGTTGCTCTATAAAGGAAAATTTTTTCTAGAACAAGTTGCTCACTGAAAGACTTTTAAAATTAACAAATTTTTTTAGACAAAGTTGCTCAATAAAACAGAATTTTTTCTAGAAAAAGTTATTCTAAAAAGTTGCTCTATAAAAGAGAAATTGTTTCTTTAAAAAGTTGCCCTATAAAAATCAATTTTTATAGAAAAAGTTGCACTTTTATAATTCCATTTTCTGTAGAAGAAAATGTTGCTCTATAAAAGAGTATTTTTTCTAGAAAAAATTGCTCCATAAAAGACCATTTTTATCTAGAAAAAGTTGCTCCATAAAAGAGCAATTTTTCTAGAAAAATTTTATCCATAAAGTGCAATTTTTTCTACAAGTAGTTGTTCTATAAACGAGCAATTTTTCGAAAAAAAAGTTGCTCTATAAAAAAGCAATTTTTTAAAGGAACAAGTTTTCATTAAAAACTTGCTCCATAAAAGGTAATTTTTTCTGTAAAAAGTTGCTATATAAAAAGGCAATTTTATCTTGAAATGATTTATAAAAGATAATTTTTTATATTTTCTAAAGAAAAATGCTCTCAAATACTCAACTAGCAAGTTTACCAGAAGAAATTGTTCTGTAAAAGATATAATTCTCCAAAAATTATTGTAATATACATCAACAATTTTCTAAAGTTTTAAAATTTTTTTTATTATTTTTAATACCCTGTAATTCACAAAAATAAAACCTCACCGATCGAATGAAAATGTTTTATTGTGCCGATATCAAACACATTTATTTTATCTCAGTTTTTTTTATTTTGTCTATTTTTCAGAAAATAATGGCAACGTCAACGGAAAATACAAATAAGCGACAAAAACATCACAAGCAACAACAATATCATCATCAACAACAACATCAGCAACAAGCACAACAACAGCAATTACTAAGAAAAAGAACTAAAATTAATTTTAAGTGAAACGAAAATAAAATATTTAAAACAAAAATAAAACTAACACTATTTTGAAAACATAAAATAAGAGCGAAGATCTAGAAACAAGAAAAAATTTAAAAAAACTAGTGGGTTTGTTTTTTTCAATCAAACACACTCAAAACAAACGAGATGTCGTGTATGACCACGACCTCGACCATCATAAAAATGAGGAAAAAATTTCTCCAACAAGTTTTGCTAAATAAAATATAAAAAAATAAGATACAAAAATAAAAAGAATAATATTGTTTATATATATAAAAAAATAAAGAAATAAATATAAAAATTTTTAACAAAAAAAAAAGAGCGACAACAAGTCAGAAAAGAGTCCCATACAAATTTTCTAAAAGAATTTATAGAAAAAATATTAAGATCTTGTGATTTGTTTCTTTTGGTTAAATTTTGTTTTTATTTTTTATGGAAAATCAACACTTCGAATAAAAAAATTTTGAAATTGAGTCCTCAGTCGTTTGAACGGCATAAAAAAGAACAACGCGCGAGCGCTTCCATTGTGAATGTGAACAAGTGATAAAAAAATACGTTAGAAAATTTATTTTCAAAAGTGAAATTTTTCTTTATAAAAAAATAAAAGTTTTCCATTGAAGAAAGAAAAGAAATTACGAAAACCCAGAGTTGTGAATTTAAAATAAGTGAAAGTTTAAAATTAAATATGTATTTAAATAAAAATATGGCAAATATTAAATAAAATAAAAAAATCTTAAAGAAAAGTGTTAAAGTGAGAGAGGAAAAAAAAAGATTTAAAATAAATTTATTTAAAAAAGAAAAGCAAAAAATCAAGTATCATACAAAATAGAAATTTCTTTTAATAAAAATATATTTGTAATGTCTACAAAAACCACAATAAAACCAACAACTAACACAACGTCAAACCAATTAACAACATCACGTACAATGTAACAGCAATACCAGCAGCAACAATAGAGGATACAAACGAAACAGCAGCAGCCAGTACTGCAGCAACAACAATTCTAAATGCAGTTCCAGCGCCACAAGAACAGCTAGCAAACACCAGCAAATACAACAGCAACAACTTTAAATGCTAGTTCAACAATTGCAAAAAAGTCATTAAAACATAATAATAATGTTTTAAGAAAAAACGAGGCGGCAAAGGCCATACGTTATAACAGAAACACAAACAACTGCAGTTGCAACAACAAAGACAACGACACAACAAACACCAACGCCACCACAAAAACAGCAACAAAGACAACCACGACCACTAATTACAACTACATTTGCAACAACGACTACATCATTTACAGCTGCCATTGCCGCAGCCCTATTGCAAACGACAAATGCTACCACCGCTACACTCACCGCCGCCCTTCAAACACACGCTGCAGCAGCTTCCTCTCCATATGAAGTTGCTGGTGCATCACCATACTCATCAGCATCATCGTCATCACCTGCCGTTACACACATACCACCGTCATTATCGATCGATAGTTCACTACAGTATCCCATGGCGGTGTTGGATGGCACTTTAGCCCAAATGGAGCCGAATGCAACCACAACACATTTACTGCATAATACAGTCATTTCCACTGCCACATCTGCTTTAGCTGCCGCTGCTGCAGCAGCTTCAACAGCTAATACAACGCTATTACTAGATGATGATGGTGGTGGCGGCACAGATTCCGATGGTGATTGGTTTGATGATGCTATTTTAGCCTTGAAAGCTTTTGTCATGTTATTTATAATAATTGCCGCCATTTTGGAAATTTACTTGTTATTATTTCTGTGATGCGTGTTAGAAAATTAAGGTGAGTTGAAATTTTTAATATTAAAATTTTCATAAGTATATAAAGTTATTCTATGGAGAGGAAATGGAACTATAATTTAAACATTTGAATGAATAAAAGTAGAAAATTTAAAACAGGTTTGCCTTAGGTTGGTTTATAACAAATTATTCAGAAAATCTTATATTAATAAGTTTTCCTTTATTTTAAAACTTGTATATTCAGCATATCGGTTGTAGACCTTAACTATTTGCTTCTGTATTGAAATTAAGAATGATTTCTTTGAAGACCTACTTATAAAACTAGCATGTAGATTAACTCCCACCAGAGACTTTGGTCAACATTTCTATATTTCTATATTTTTTATCAATGTACAAAAACAACATTTTTGTCGTAAATTTTCTACAAAAAAAAAAAAAAAAAAAAAAAAAAAAAAAAAAAATTTTGAAAATTTTATATAAAAAGAAAATTTTTATCGAAAATTTTCTATAAAAAGAAGAAGAATTTTCTATAAAAAGAAAATTTTTATCGAAATTTTTCTATAAAAAGAAAATTTTTATCGAACATTTTCTATAAAAAGAAAATTTTTATCGAAAATTTTCTATAAAAAGAAAATTTTTATCGAAAATTTTTATCGAAAATTTTCTATAAAATGAAAATTTTTATCGAAAATTTTCTATAAAAAGAAAATTTTTATCGAAAATTTTCTATAAAAAGAAAATTTTTATCGAAAATTTTCTATAAAAAGAAAATTTTTATCGAAAATTTTCTATAAAAAGGAAATTTTATCGACGATTTTCTATAAAAAGAAAATTTTCTTTAAAAAGAAAAATTTATATAAAAAGAAAATTTTCTTTAAAAAGAAAAATTTATCGAAAATTTTCTATAAAGACAAATTTATCGAAAATTTTCTATAAAAAGAATACTTAACGAAAATTTTCTATAAAAAGAAAACTTAACGAAAATTTTCTATAAAAAGAAAACTTAACAAAAATTTTCTATAAAAAGAAAACTTAACGAAAATTTTCTATAAAAAGAAAACATAACGAAAATTTTCTATAAAAAGAAAACAACGAAAATTTTCCATAAAAAGAAAACAACGAAAATTTTCTATAAAAAGAAAACTTAACGAAAATTTTCTATAAAAAGAAAACACAACGAAAATTTTCTATAAAAAGAAAACAACGAAAATTTTCTATAAAAAGAAAACAACGAAAATTTTCTATAAAAAGAAAACTTAACGAAAATTTTCTATAAAAAGAAAACTTAACGAAAATTTTCTATAAAAAGAAAATTTAACGAAAATTTTCTATAAACAGAAAATTTATCGAAAATTTTCTATAAAAAGAAAATTTAACGAAAATTTTCTATAAACAGAAAATTTATCGAAAATTTTCTATAAAGACAAATTTATCGAAAATTTTCTATAAAAAGAATACTTAACGAAAATTTTCTATAAAAAGAAAACTTAACGAAAATTTTCTATAAAAAGAAAACTTAACAAAAATTTTCTATAAAAAGAAAACTTAACGAAAATTTTCTATAAAAAGAAAACATAACGAAAATTTTCTATAAAAAGAAAACATAACGAAAATTTTCTATAAAAAGAAAACAACGAAAATTTTCTATAAAAAGAAAACTTAACGAAAATTTTCTATAAAAAGAAAACTTAACGAAAATTTTCTATAAAAAGAAAATTTAACGAAAATTTTCTATAAACAAAAAATTTATCGAAAATTTTCTATAAAAAGAAAATTTAACGAAAATTTTCTATAAACAGAAAATTTATCGAAAATTTTCTATAAACAGAAAATTTATCGAAAATTTTATATAAACTGAAAATTTATCGAAAATTTTATATAAACAGAAAATTTATCGAAAATTTTCTATAAACAGAAAATTTATCGAAAATTTTCCATTAAAAAAAAATTAATCGAAAATCTTCCACAAAAAGAAAATTTATTGAAAATCTTTATATTTATGAAAAATTTTCTATAAAACTAATATTGATCGAAAATTTTCTATAAACAGAGAAAATTTATTAAAAATTTTCTATTTAAAAGGAAATTTGTAAAAAATTTTCCATTTTCCATTAAAAATAGAGAAAATTTATCGAAAATGTTGATAAAATGAAAATATTTTCTATAAACAAATTGTTCAAATGTTTTCTGGAATGTCCGTCCGTCTCTCCATTAAAAGTACATGTTCTATTGCACTTTCTACAGGAAGTTATAAAAGGCATGGTCCGGAAATATTTGGTCTACTTTTGACTCAACCTCCTAATAATGATATTCTTGCTTAAAGCTAAAATTTGAAAAATTGTTTTTGTTGTTAAATAATTAAAAACATTTGTATTTATATACAATTTAAATTGCAGAACTATGCACGTATTTTATTTTTCTTCTTATTACAACAACTACAACAATTCATTTGAAATTCTAAAAATTTTTATTACTTCAATTATCTCACCTCTAAAAAAATATTAAATCCATAATTAATTATTACTGTAACGTACAATTTAATGGCAAAATGACCAGACTGAGACAACAACAAAAAATATTTGAAAAAAAAACAATTAAAATATTGAATATGTATGTAGTTTTCATTATTACTAATCTAATATTTAATACCCAACTCATTCATTATTGTCCAATTAAAAATACATTTAAATAATAAATTAAAAAAAAAAATATGTATATATTTGAAATTATGAATGACAAATAAAAGCCAAAAACAAAAAGTATAAAAATAAATACTGACATGACAATTAAAATGATAATTACGAAAGTCAGCAAAAATACAACAAAAACAACTTTCACAGCATTTTATATTATTCAACAAACAGTTAAACTAAACAAATTGTTATTAAATTATTTAAAAAAAAATATGCTGAAAGGGCAATAGAAATAAAAAAATAATGATAAGGAATAGCAAAAAAAAAATTGTATTTTTAAGATTACATTTTAAATTTAAATTAAATAAAAAAAACAACAAAAAATAATTAACGACACTTTTGCCAGACTTTTTGTTATTTTTGCATACAAATTTGGCAATTATTTGTTTCGGTTTTTATTATTATTATTATTTTTTTTTTTTTTTTTTTGTTTTCTTTCTTTATTTCTATGGAGGCAATTTCCAGTTGTCGCCTCCAAACGGTAGCCATTCATTGACAAGGTTAAAATCATTTAAAATAAATGAATTTATGCATGTGTCATGAGGTAAATTTTCCCAATAAACATCGATTCAAACCTGTGAATATTTTTGAAAATTTTCTTAACTAAATAATGTATTTTCCAAATTGTTTTCAAATTTTAAAGTTTAGCCTTTGAAATAAACATGATAATTTCAAAAAACGTTTAAAAAAATATAATGTGTGATATTTATAAAAATTTCAAAGTTTTGATTTAATTGAACTTAGAAAAGTTTCTTTCAAAAAATAAATTATTTTAGAAAAATAAAAACAGAACATTTTTTCTACAGCAAGGGCGCGAAAAAAACGTTAAATATAGGAGAAATAATCGGAGATATAAATATGCTAAAATAAATATATGAATGTTTTATTTTCAAGTGATGTAAAAAAATATATGAATTTTGCAATAGTTAGCATTATAATTAGGGTTTGAAATATGTATGAAAATAATAATAAAGAATACTTGAAATACGTTTGAAAATTTTTTTAATTTCAAGCTTACCTCTAGCATTTTTTAAATTTGAAATACATTTGAAAAATACGTTTGATTTCTAACTGCCTTTTTGTTTGAGAAGGCCATAATTTTCCATTTGAAAACAAAAATTTTCAAATTTGTTCTCAAAGGCTATGTATGAAATTTGAATAGGTTTTCAAATACACATTTACATCATTTCAAAGGTTTTTGCTTATTGGGTTATGTTTTTATAGGAAGTATACTATAAAAACACTTTACGAACCATAATTTTTTTGTGTAATTTTTGTTGTCTTTTTAGGTTGTTGGAGAGACAATTTGTGCACAATAAAAAAAAAACGCATTAAATGCGTTTAATGATTGTCATTAGTGGATTAAGGGAATTTAAAAAAAAAAACGACAAAATTATGAACAGTAAAATAAAGCAAAGTAAACAAAATTATCTTGAGAGAAAAAAATTTTTCAAAAACTTTTTAAATAATCTAATTAAAGATACATTTTATCAAAAAAAATAATAAATATTGTTAATAATAATTTATCGGAAATACATCTAAATATCGGTCGTAGACCCAAAAATTTATATATGTATGTAGATATGTGTATTCTGGGTCTTTATTGAATTCTAATATGATCTAACCATGTCTGCCCGTCAATCTGTTGAAATCAAAGGGACCACACGGGAAAAGTTAGAAAGCTGAAAATTTCCATTAATATTCCCTATAGGGAAGATGACCCACTAGTGGCCCCCGAAATACAGATTAAATCGTCATACAAATGTTAATTATATAGCAAATAAGTCAAAATTTGGCACAAGCTAGTTTTATGTATACAGAAACTATTCTGTAAAATTAGTTTACCATTGACCCTAACCCCAAAGAAGTTAATAACTTTAACGCATAGAAAAGAAGAACATAAATCTCTGTACTTAATTTTATGAGGATAGAACCACATTTTACCCTACCCCTCATTTAGTATCCCCTTACAAAACGACTGTAACGCTCATAATTAGCTTAGAAATACCACTATAGCAATGAAATTCTAAATGTACAAGTTTATTAAGAACTTAAATCCCCATACTTGATTTTATAGTCCATGTAATGTCTCCTTCAGAAAATGACTTTAAAGCTCATAACTGACTTAAAGGTACCAGTATAGCAATTAATTCGATGTGAACATGTAATATGGAAATCTAATCCTCTGTGACAAATTTCATAAGAATAGGTCTATATTGGATCTAATCCCCCCATAAGAGGTTAACTAACTAACTAAGTAACTAACTACTAACTAACTAACTAACTAACTACTAACTAACTAACTAACTAACTAACTAACTAACTAACTAACTACTAACTAACTAACTAA